TTCACTTCTGCTTTATTTCCCTTTGCAAAGTTCTGTCATCAGAAGGCACTGGGTTTCTCCCAACTTGCTGCAGCAGCAGGGGAGCTGTGGGGCAACGGTTCACATAGCAAGCTTGGTTCCTGCTGCTTAGGTCCTGTTAATGGCAACTGATCCAGTATATATATGAAATAATTTTGTACTTAGGCACCTTATTCCCAAGACTTTCCTATTGTGCAGAGCATGAACCACCACCCACTGGCCAGTCTGCAGCAGACACAGGGCAGAGCCAGCTCTGGCACTGGAGAGATGTGCCACCACCCAGCACCAATCTGTAGAGGGAAACTCACACCCAAGCAGAGCACTGTGCCCTGCAGGTGCAATGGGCTGACATTCATACCTCCATTCAACTTCTGTCAGGGATATTTTAAAAGCTCCAGTTAAAAAAGAATGTGTGTTTTTGAAAGGATTTGCTACTCCCATAGGGACCTTCCCTCAGTAAATATCGGCACTGCCTGTGCTGGGATCCCAGTAACTGCTCAGGTGTGACCACAGCAATGGTGCTGCTGGATCCCAGGGTCTGTCTTGGGACAACTACTCTCTGACACCTTTATCAGTGCGACACACGATGGGACTGAGTGCACCCTGTACAAGTGTGTGATGACACCAAGCTGAGCGGTGCAGTCATACAGCAGAAGGAAGGGGTGCCATCCAGAGGGACCTCAGTAAATTCGAAAGGTGAGCCCTTGTGAACCTACACAAATGAGCATCAGAGAGCTCCTTGAGGCTTTTGATTGAGAAATGTGTATATAAACATTAAAGTGCAAAGGATAGGATGGGAAATTAATTTGGTGGCCTCATTGGAATTGCCACAGCATCTGCAGATCATCTCATTTTGGGAGTGCTACTGTCATGCTGGCAAACAGGAAGGCGCCTGCAGAAGTTTTTCTTGCTCTTATTATCTAGAAAATCTTGAAAAAGATATCGAAGCATCACAATCTTTTTACATATAGGTCAATGCAGCTTCCAGTTCCAACCCCCTGCTGTGTGCAGGTTGCCAACCAGCAGCCCAGGCTGCCCAGAGCCACATCCAGCCTGGCCTTGAATGCCTGCAGGGATGGGGCATCCACAGCCTCCTTGGGCAACCTGTGCCAGTGCCTCACCACCCTCTGGCTGAAAAACTTCCTCCTCATATCCAACCCAAACCTCCTCTGCCTCACTTTAAAACCATTCCCCCTTAGATCCCATCATTACCCCCCACTTACTATATTGCATATGAAAGATCTCTTACAGAGTCAAAAAATAAATATCATAGCATTGCAAAAAAAAAAAAAAAGATGTAAAAATCTGATGCAAAGTGAAAAAACCAACACAAAATACGGGCACAGCATTTCCATACCCAGCGAGTGCCCATCACAGGTCTGGGAGGAGCAATCTCCCTAATGAATGGTTTCACAAGAATCTTCCCAAGTCCCCTTCAGCTGAAGGCTGAAATCCTCCAGTTCTCAGAAAAGACAAAAAAAAAAAACAAAAAAAAAAGCAAGAGAAAAGTTATATTCTTGATTTTGTTAACAGCCTCAGAGCACAAAAAGAAAGGTAGATTAGATGCAGCTCCCCCCAGGAACAGTAATTTTATTATAAGCCTCTGTATACCATAATGCAGAAAAAAATATATCTCTTTCCTTTCCAGATAATTTCTAATTAATAAAGTTATATTTATTACATGCAATTAAAAATATAACCTTAGGGCACAAGCAACAATAGAGATATTGAGTCTGAGGCTTACTTATCAAGATTACTTTCATTGCTTTTTTCCCAAATACTCTGCATATGAAAATCGGTTCCTTGAAGCTGCAGCGCCCTGCTTCAAAAAAAATGGTGCTTCTTAAATTAAATTAATTTAGCAACGGGAAAAAAAAATAGAAGCTAGAATGCTTCGCATCTGAGAATAAAGCTAATTGAACCAAATCGTCTTTTCTGCAACAGAAGAAGCTCTGATGCAATCTAATTAAAAAGGAATAGGCCCTATTTCATTATTTTATTTAATCATAGTCAGGACAGTCGTCTGGACGGCACGTTTCCTGCAAATAGGGATGTACAGACATCAGTAGCACTCGGTACCAAATCACAAAGTGTTACCACTTGGGCTGAGATTTGTATTTCGGCAGCTTTAAGAAAAGCCTTCCCCAAATGTCAGCCCTGTATGCACTAATTGGAGTGTTAAACCTCCGGTGCTGCTGTTTACCTGAAAGTCAATCTCAGTCAGGGTCCTGGCACAGAAGAAGAAGTGTCTCAAGGGCACTGAGATGCCCGAGACTTCTATAATATATACATACATAATATAGAGAGAGCACAGATATGTCACCGGAGTGACTGAGCACAATGATTCAGGCGTTAATTGGGTCCTTTCCTTTGGCACACGAATGTAAAAGTCCTCAGCACAGCAAAACCAAAGCAGTTGCATTCCTGAAATATTGCACTCCTGAAATAGCAAAATGCAAGGCAGCTCATTGAATCACAGGATGGCCTGGGTTGCAAAGGACCACAATGCTCATCTAGTTCCAACCCCCTGCTATGTGCAGGGTCACCAACCACCAGACCAGGCTGCCCAGAGCCCAGAGTTCTGCAGCCCTGATTCCTCCCAGTCCCTCCTCACCGCTGTATCTCCAATGAAAGAGCCACACCTGTGACTTGAGGCTTCCTTACCTCTACTATGGACGTATCCTGCAGGAAGGATTAGCCCATCCTGCTGGATTTACTGTGGGAAGCAAAGCATCACTTTCCTGTCCTGCAACACAGCCCTGCAGCATGGTGGCAGGGATTTACAAGGGGCTGCTGGGTCCCAGGGCTCTGCAGCACTGCAATGGGACACGAAAGTAGCTGCCTTCTGCCCAGGCTTACAGCATTTGATCAGTGGCTGGGAGGGAGAATAAAGCCATGGTGTAAAGGCTGCAGGTGGTAGAAAGGGCAGGGCATGCAAATGCAGCTCAGAGGACAACAGAGCTCTCTGGCTCGTTGATCAGTTTGGCAGATCAAAAAGGTGAATTTAAATGTAAGATTACTCTGAAATTGAATGTTAAGACCCCAGGTCCAGGAGCAAAGGTTTCTTCAGAGGTGGGAGATTTCACTGTGAGCATCACAGCTCTGGGTGTGACTTCTGTCCGGGGGACCACCAGCAAGAGATCCCAGCCAGCTCTGTGCTCACAGAGACAGAGCAGAACTGGGGAGTGCAGGCAGAGAACAAAGTGACAATCCTCTGCATGCATCACTGCGGCAAGCAGCGGTCCTCTTCTGCTGTGAGTGTTGTCTAGAGCCAACGCCAGTGGTAACCCAGGAACCAAAACAATGAGTTTTGCCTTCAGACGTCCTCTATTTAGAGGGGAACAGAGCTCAGGAAGCTTTGCACTAGCACCAGGCAGAGGCCCTTCCTGGCTCCATAGCAGAGCTGTGAGCATTGCACCACAGCTTTGAGTTCCTGACCTTCGTGCAATAAAATCTGAAGGCTATTTAAATGGAAAAGGGAATCGTGAGTTTTTGCTTTGTGTCATATCACGAAGGTTTGAAATGAAAATGCTGTTCCTGGAGATGAAAGAACTTAAAATCTGCTCATGCTTTTTACCCTTAGGTTTAGAAAGCAAATAAATACGTAAACAAATAAATCAAGAATATTAAATCTCATCTAATCTGCTTTAAGCAGAAAATCTGAAAAGAGGATTTCTTATTCTGCAGCTGAAAGAGAGAGGCGTGTGAGTGTCTCACAAGGAGAGATTTGTTCTCAAGTAACCATTCAGAATTGGAATTAAATTAGTGCTAACAAAGCCAACTTCCTTTTTAAAACCCAGTTTATAAGCTGTGCTGCCTCAGATGTCCCCTTTTCCCTGTGGTCCCTCATCCCCAGCACCAACACCTGGGCTCACAGGGGAGGGACTAAACTCCTATTGCCAAAGGGGTTGGAGCTGGCAGGGATAATTTCCCAACTGAGGACACTGCTATGCTTTTCCTCAAGGTGCATTGCATTTGCTATTCCCATACCATAGGTGTTCCCTATTAAGAGGAACTTCTTAATTAACACTGCAATAAGAGCACTCCATTTCTTGTGTGCTTTCTTCTGACAGATGGTGAGACAGTGGAAGGCCAGAAATTTTCAGGAAATGGAACAACATTGTCACATTTACTGTACCTTGATTTCTAGCAGTATCTACTGCTCCAGATTCACACCCAACCAACTTATCTCAGTGTGTTGTGTTTCTAACAGCATTGCAGCCCTGCTACCAGCAGCTGGATGGGCTTGAATGCCATCCTAGAGCGCTGCTGGTATTCTCTTCCTTTTTGGATTGGCAATTACAGAGTTGTTCAGATTGGAAAAGACCTTTGAGATCAAGTCCAACCTCAACCTTCCGGTGCTGTGACCACTGCTCGACCTTCCCACTGGTCTGGCTGGGCTTTGCTCAGTGGTGTCTGCTCACTGCAGCCCACAGAGAGAAATGGAGGGCTGAGAAGGGAAGCTTTGCCCATAAAACGTGTTCTGGATATCGCTACCAAAGCTATAATTCACTACACCTTGAAGTTCTTTACTTTGCGTGTTCATTCATTGGCCAGGTTGGATGGGGCCCTGGACAGCCTGGGCTGCTGTGAAATGTGGAGGTTGGTGGCCCTGCATGGCACAGGGGGCTTGGAGCTTCGTGATCCTTGAGGTCCCTTCCAACCCAGGCCGTTCTGTGGTTCTGTGAATCCAAAATATGGTTTTAGGAAATCCTCATCATTGGGCTATTACATATTGGAAATAAATCACGTACTTAAAACTCCTTTGACCTTCAGGCATGCAGAACACACGATGAGGCAGGGGGCTGGCACGTCACTTCTGCATTCAGTGCAGTGGAAAATACTGAATTTCTGTGAAAATCATCTCTCATTTAGCAGTCAGCAGGATGAAATAATGAATCAAATAGAAAAATAGACAATGATGTTCTATGGAGAATCTTCACACGGTCTGTACGTGGCACAGTATTCATAAAATTTGTATTAAGTATTTTCTCATCACGTTGAGTTTCAAATGATGGAGATAAAGCAACTCAAACAGCAACTGTGCACTCTGGCATAAACTAGTTAAAATAATTTGCCTCTGCGCGCTACAAAACATGAGCACTGAATAGAAAATTATATTAAAAATTTATATAGTATTTCCTTGCTAAGCTTTACATGCATTGTAATCATGAGATCCATTCTGATAACATCGTAATACAAAATAACGGGGATGACTCATCCAGCATGTAGAAATCAAGAAAGCATGTGGTGCTGCATGATTATGGCAGTGTTTATGAGTTGTTGCTTCCATTCACAAATGGAAGCAATGTTTTCAGAATAAAAGCAAGCGCCGGAACGCGAGATGTAATTTCCAGGGCTGGGGCTGTAGGTGGACTTCCACTAAAATATTCATGATTTGAGCTGTTCGCAGCTCGAATTAATTGCCATCCATAATTAATCTGCCCCGTAGAATCCTTCCATTTTATATACAGGGGATTTATTGGACATGCCCCTCTAATTCGTATTGTTGGTTTTGTTTATTTGACGGCCCAAGTACAAAAGATAGTTCTTGTCATGGAGAAAAATCAATATTCAGTTCATCGCCTGCTGCCTGATCACCTTTAAACCCGCCACAGAACTCCTACACAATTTAAAAACCACTCAAATTAATTCCTTAATTCTAACCAAGCCACTTATCATTTACTCCCAAGGCACAAGCCTGAATCTCATCAGCTGGCAAAGGAGCAGTGGAGGAGCTGCAGGGATGCCAGGCCAGGAGCGTGGCTGGGGGCAACTGTGCTGTATGCCATGTGCTCGGGTGAGCTGCCTCCCAGCCACGTGCATCTGTTGCATAGAACCATTCCTATGAGAAAAGACCTCCAAGATCCCCAAGCCCAACCCCAGCCACCCCACACACCCACTGCCCACATCCCTCAGAGCCACATCTCCCTGGCTCTGGAGCACCTCCAGGGATACCCCACCACTGCTGGGCAGCTGTCCCAGTGCTCAACTGCTCTGTGGGAGAGGTTTTTCCCAGTATCCAACCTGGGCTGGGCGGGAGGGTAACATCCATTCAAATGGCTGTAGTGTGCAGGAGAAAGGGCTGTGATCCAGGGAGAACTGTGCCCATTCTTCTGAAACTGCCAGGTACTGTTCATGCCCAAGGATAAAGCAAAGAAAGCTTCTACCAGCACACAAACGTTATGCAGGAGCAAATTCCCCCTGCCAGTTCCCCTTGATGAGGTCAGTGATTAAAGGATGAACAGCCAGAAGCAGCAATCCAGAAGCTGCCGATCACACTTGAGGGTGGGCACCCCAAAACTCACCATCCTTGCAGATGCCAGCCTTATCCAGAGCCCCAGCTGAGCGGTGCAGGGATGCAAAGAGGCTGGGGAGGCCTCAGCAGTCCTTCCACGCTGCAGCTCTGATTCACGTCTAAGCCATTAGTTCCAGACACGTGGGTTTTCCAAATTATTCTGTCCTACATAAGTTGTATTTCACAGTGCTGGCTTTTATTTGCCGTCATCTTGTTGATCACCTTGCTTCATTAGTGTCCCTTTAGAGCAGAGAATTGCAGCTTTGGCTGATCTAAATAACTCTATCATCTGCAAATATACCACATCAGCAATCATTCCCTTCCCCATATGGTTAATTAGCATGCCAGACAGCAAGAGTCCCCAGGTGGAAGTCTCTGGACACCCTACAGTTAACCTTTTGCCATAGTCAAATGGCCATTTATTCCTACTCTGTGTTCTGGGATTTGGCTGAAGACATTTTGAAAGCCCAGATAAATGATGTCAGATGGCATTCCTTTGTGCCTGCTTGCTCAAGTGAAAAATAGACTGGTAGTTCCATGCAGAGCAATGCCACTGCAGCAGACGTGACACTGCCATGCTCTCAGGGGAGGCTGTGAAATCCCTGATCACTGTGGCTGTGCTGCATCCATCCTCCAGGCTCCAAGAGCTTTTGGGATGCATTCCTCAGCTCTTCCTGTCATTACTCCTTCCAAGTGTCAATGACTGGGAATAAGGAGATACAGATAAAGCTGTGTTATGAACAACGAGGAAAATGCTTATTGAAGTGCTACTTATATGCCTATAGAGGCTGTTCTGGGAAATCACAGAGCCACCAGGGTTGGAAAAAATCTTTAGGATCATCTAACTCAGGCTTCCACCTGTACCACTACTGCCCACTAACCCACGTTCCTTAGGGCCACATCTACTTTTTCCTTGGACACCTCCAGGATGGTGACCACACCACTCCCTCTGCAGCTGTGCCACTGCCCACAGCTCTCTGGGAGAACAAAGGTTTCCTAATATCCAACCTGAGCCTCCCCTGGCACAACTTGCGGCCTTATCTCTCATCCCATTGCTGTTACCTGGGAGAAAAGGAAACTCCTTGCCACAACCTCCATTCAGGAAAGCCCTTTTTCAGTTACATCCCTACACAGTCACCCACCACACACTGAACAACTCCTGAAGTGTTATCACACCTGGGCACAACTCAGGCACCAATACCTAACACAAAATGGAGGAAGCACGGCACAGGGTCCTGCCTCAAGCCAAGATCCTCAGCAAGTCTTCGGTGCCTAATGCTCCCTGAAATTAGTAACCCTAACGTCTCCAAGGATCTTAGCCTTATCATTGGGAAGTTGTCCACCTTGGTGAGAGCACATTCTCTTGCAGACACAGTGAGAGATGCGCCTGGAGGTGCTGCAAGGTCACAGAGGTGCCTGCTGCCAAGCAACCGGGAGTAAAGGCTGCAACACGCTGCACAAAACATTTGCAATTGATCAGTTGACCAACTTCAATTCCACAGCTTGTTTGCCTCCATCACAGTCTTGTTACCAGACAGGAAAAGGCAAACTCACAAAAACATCCTTCAATTAAGGGCTTGTAGCTCGCTGAGGTTTTTGCTTATGATTCAGTTCCATGAACTATGAGAGTGCCAACGGAAACCTTTCGAAGTAGTCAATGATTATTTTAACAATTCAACTTATTTTCAAACAAATTATCCAAGAAAACAGCAATTGCCAAATTCCGTGGATTCACTGAGCCAATGCATAATAGTATGTCATATAATTAAACTATTCATTAAGACTTCTGCTGGATAGAAAACTCAAAACTCAGAGGCATCTGACCTTTGGGGCACTGCAGACTTTCACACTTCAGTTATCCAGTTGCCTTAAAATTGCCTATTAGTAACTGCTTGACTTCATTGGCTTTGAGCAGTTTTTTGAACAGCAAATATAATACTAGATAAATGTAATGCTAATAGCTACTTATTTTTAATAACGGAGTCCTGAAAAATAATAAAGCATAATTCTCCTGTAGATGCACCCTGCCATTTTAATTAATTCTGCACTGATAGAAGCTTGCATTTTCTTTTTGCTTTCCATACATAGCTGTGCTTAAGGGAACCTAAGAGAAGAACAGTGCGTTCTCCTAAACAAGGGCCCCCCATGTAGTTTTCAGATAAGCAGAAATGTACAACTGGAAGGCAGATCCATGAGCTGCATTTGCAGCTGCGCCATTCTTCCTGTGATGGTAATTTTTCTTTCTGCAGTGGAAGTTACCTCCCAGGTAGGAGACGGAGACCCCAAGCTGCACAGAGCCCACCAGGAGCTGCCTCTGGAGGCCCACAGCTGCCCTGAGTGCTGCCCTGCTTGGTGCTGATAACACAGCAAGGCAGAGCGGACTGCAAGCATCCTCTACCCATAGCACGAAGAGCAGCCCATTGGTTTAGATGCAGTTTTAGTCCAGACCTTCCATGTACAACCTGATAGGTTTGGATTTTTTTGCCTTTTTTTTTTTTTTTTTAATGTTTCAGTAAAACAAACAAACAACATAAAAATGAAGGTTTGTTAATTGTATACATTAACTGTGCATTCCGTATGGGCCCATGACGATTCCTCTTTGCTCAGTGCATCCCAGGCAAACCACAAGTTTGGCAAGCAATGGCCTGGATAACAAAAGCATCCAAAGAATTTAATACTGATTATTACCCAGAGCAACTACTATCAGTAAGACAAAGATCCTAACCCAGCTCCCAAGGCAGGCTCTGCGCTGATACAATTTCCTTCCATCTCGCCGTAAGTAACCACTACCCAAACCCCCTCATCCACTTCAGAAGGTGAGGCAGGCACTGAGAGAGGCACAAGATGCTGGGCATACAGTCACAGAATTGCAGAATCATTCAGGTTGGAAAGACCTCTGAGTCCCCAGGCCCAACCCCAGCCCACCCCACCATGCCCACATCCCTCAGTGCCACGTTCCCACAGCTGCGAGCAGCTGCAGGGATGCTGAGCAATTCCACTCTGTGCAGCTGTGCCACTGCAGCACTGCTCTTTGAGGGAAGAAATATTTCCTAATAGCCAACATGAAGCACTGCAAGCACAACACACCTAACCTGCATGCACTGAGCAGGGGGGCACACGCACACACACTCCCCCCAGGCAGCAGAGTATGAAGTCTGTGGCTACGCATTACCTGAACGGTCGGCTGATCGATTTTGGCTTTTCTGCCCTGCTGCATAGTGGCTGAGCTAAATCTTGCCTTTTATTAACCTGTCCCTCCGGTGCCTGCCTAACGAAGTGCAGGGAGCAAAGTGAGCAAGAAAAACAGAAGGCTCTGAGCTGAGCACTCCGCTGCCTCTGGGAAAGGTCAGCTCCTCTCCAGCTGCCCGCCCCAGGCACCATCATGGGGAGAGGGAAGCAGTGCTGCACAGCACGGGCTGCCTCCTTTGCTCACTGGGATCCTGGTGTCAGCCCACCGACAGAGATGGATGGAGGTGTCTTTATTAAATTATGCTTACATTATCCTGGGCTCATAACGACTGCTGCTTGTTTGGACAGCTGAGAAGATCTGTGCTGCTGCTAGCTGATCTTGACATCATCATTAGTAGGAAACAATCAGGGAAAAGTGCTGTTAAAGCATATGGTGCCCACTTGAGTTTTTTTAAAAGAGGAAGTTAATAAATAAAACTTGAGAGCACCACTGACGCCTTCAGCCATTGTTTATTTACATAACCAGCTTCAGTACATCACTACACAGGAGGAACCTACACTATTTAGGAGGAAGTTTTGGAGCCAGAGGGTGGTGAGGCACTGGCACAGGTTGCCCAAGGAGGCTGTGGATGCTGGATGCCCCATCCCTGCAGGCATTCAAGGCCAGGCTGGATGTGGCTCTGGGCAGCCTGGGCTGCTGGTTGGCGACCTGCACACAGCAGGGGTTGGAGCTGGATGAGCACTGTGCTCCTGTGCAACCCAGGCCAATCTGTGATCAGACTAGTCACACGGTGGGGAAAAAAACTGCCACAAAATATACATGCAATGTCTTGAGTTTGCTTTTCACAGGAACAAAGGTCACTCTAGGATGGCAGATACAAAATAACCAAAGAAGAGGTGGGGTGAGGTTGTATTCCAGCTGGGAGTCCGCCGGATCAAATCACAAGAGTTTCTTCTCAAAGAAGAAATGCCCCCCCGGGCTGAACCTGCCTCACAACCAGGGGGACGTGTCCTCTTGGAATCCCATCCTCAGCCCCTCAAGGAGCAGGGAAAGAGCCCCAAGGTCTCTGCAGCAGAGTTCCGGTGAGTTCTGCCATTCACTGCCCAGAGAGCAGCAGCTGTCATTGGGGATGCAAAGTGGAGGCTCTGAAGGAGGGATAACATTTGAAAAGAACAAAGTAAACTATAAAATCCCAAATACAACAAACTTCAGGGCCTAATTATGAAGTCTGAATAAGAAATGCAGGAGAAGAATTAAGAGTTAGGCTTTTTTTCTTTTTTACTCATTCCAATAATATTTTGCCAAAGGCTTTTACTTAGCGAGACATCTTTCCATCAGAGGAGAGCAGAGAATTATGAATTTCAACTTCACCAGTAGATGCACGTAACTTTGGGAGGGGAGATAAAGATGAAAGAACAAAATGTACCGTCTGGCTTTGGGCAAATACCCACAGCCGGATTTGGTCAGGCTGCAAATTTCAAGATACTTCATGCAAAGGAGTAAGCTCTGCTGCAGTGTGTGCTTGTTCCCCAGTGGAGCACCTCGTGCCTCCCAGCCCCATGGGCACAGCAGAGCTGCCCCACACAGCAGTGAGCTACAGGTGCAGCAGTGTGGGCCATCCCGAGTCTCACAGCTCAGCAGAACAGATCCTGAAACATTTCAGAGATCTTCCAGCACCCTTCCCCCAGGTCCATTTGGCTGCCCTTTGATCATTAATTTCTGACTATTTCTCACCAGTTGCACCGTGTCTCTTAGCAGGTAGTAGAGGCTCCTTAAAGCATGGATGGCAACACACATTCCCAATTTCCCTTTTTCTGTTACTCCACATTTTTTGTCACATATTCTCACTGAGCAATCCCCAGCAAAACAGAGCTTCATACTGAGCAGACACCATTAGTATCACCTTGAAGTTGTGCGGCGACAGTTCTGGTTAATGAAACAGCACAGGTGTAATTGCTCACTCTTGATCATCAAATCAAATCTTAAATTAAAAATAAAATGTGTTCATAGCATCACAGAATGGCCTGGGTTGCACAGGAGCACAGTGCTCATCCAGCTCCAAGCCCTGCTGTGTGCAGGTCGCCAACCAGCAGCCCAGGCTGCCCAGAGCCACATCCAGCCTGGCCTTGAATGCCTGCAGGGATGGGGATCCACAGCCTCCTTGGGCAACCTGTGCCAGTGCCTCACCACCCTCTGAGTGAGCATTCCTTACAGCCTGGTCTGGCTAAGCCTCACTAGAAGTGATATTGTAAACACACTCTTTTGGCCTCAGAACAGAAATCTTTGCACGAAACTTGCAAAGCAGCATACAAGAAACCAGTGCTTGTTTGTCCATAAGAATCATGCTTACCAAGCCAGATCCACGGGGTCGTGGCTGCCCTGGAACCACAACACAGTTTAGTCAAGCTTTGCTGCATCTGAGCAATTTGTACAAAACCACACTCAAGAGGGCCCAGCTGTATCAGCTTTTGTCTCCTGAATTCCTCTCTCTCCATTTCTTTACTCCCTTTTAAAAATAAATAGAGTATCATGAACTCTCACATGAAGGAAAATCATGGGGCATCAGGAGTGTTATTTTCCCATTGTTGTGCTGGATACAACACTAGCAATCTATTAGCCATCAAGCAATCAGCTGAGAAGCCCCCTTTAGCACAAGTCCTTTGTGCTTCACTGAAGGCTTTTGACAGCCCTTCTCTGAAAAAGCAACTCTTTGTATGGCTCTCAGAAACGCCAATTTCATACCTGTTACAACACTTCCCTGTGAAATTACAAGGCTGTTCATGGGAGAAAAATCACTGCACACCATAACCGCTTGGTTTTTTATATCATGATTTGACTGTGTCACGCAGCTAAGGCAGAAACAACCAAAAAGCCCTCTCCATCACACAGAAATTAGAGCTGTTTTAAACAGAGGGGAGCAGCAGGGGGTGAGTGTGGCCTAGAATTACACGATGCACCCACGAACATCGTGCTTTAGCACAGAGCTGTCAGCCCCACCAGGACCCATTGCACCAGCCCCACCAGGACCCATTGCACCAGCAAGAGGCTTCCATGAGAGCTGCACTTGCACAATGGAACCAAAGCAGCCACACTGATCAGCTCCTCCATTAGGACACAGCTTGCTGCTGTGCAGATGAATGCTGCAGCAATTATAAATATGCTTTTCTTGCTGCCCAATTTGTGTGACAAGCAGGGCAGCTCAGAATTGCCAGGCCCTTCAGGAGATGGTACCTGTGGAGCAGCTGCACTGACACAGCGTGCTCTTGACTGAGGTTCCATATGCACACACACCTCAGATACCAGCACATTACAGATGCACACACAATTATCTATCACTGGGAGCAACGTGAAATAAATCTGAATAGCCAGGGTAATGACCCTGTACTAACTGGTGACACGACAAGCTGGAATCTGCAGGTCTTACACCTGGGTTGCAGCAACCTGCACTATCAGTACAAACTGGGGGAGGTAAGGATGGAGCACAGCCCTCCAAAAGGACCTGGGAGCACAGGTGGGTGGCAGCTGCTCATGAGCCAGCACTGTGCCCTCATAACCCAAGTCCTAACATATCCTGGGCTGTGTCCAACACAGCATGGCCAGCAGGGCGAGGGAGGGGATCTCCCCCTCTGCTCTGTGCTTTGAACCTCACTGGGAGCACCAAGAGCAGATGGGAGTGCTCAGCACAGGAGAAACCTGGAGATGATGGAGTGCATCCAGAGGAGGGCCACAGAAACAATCCCAGGGATGGGACACCTCCTTGTAAGACAGGCTGACAGTGTTCAGGTAACACCAGGAAGGGCCTTCATGAGCCCCCTGCAGGATACCCTCTATGAGGAGGCTTATACAAATGAGAAGACAGATACTGAACACACAGCCCAATATTTCAGTTACGGGTTGACCTTAGGGGCAGCTTTTTGCTCAGTCTGCACAAGGTGGCCCCCAACGTCTCTTCTAAAGGAACCATGTCAGACTTGGGCTGCTCCCTCCCCACCATTCCCAAAGCCAGCACTGAGCCAGGAACCCCCAGGGCAGACTCCATTAATGGAAGCAGAGCACCCCACAAAAAAGGGTAAGTTATTAGCAAAGTAATTAAGGGTGAGTTTTTTCTTAATACAGATAAGATGCAAGCAGGAATAATTCAAGCAAACCTTATAACCCTTTGAATTCAGAAGCCCAGATCATTAATGCAAAATGCTAATTAAAGCTTGCAAGCCTGGATACAGAAGAGGATGCTGTGATTTCGGGGTACCACGTCCTTAATCAGCCAGGTACTCACGTATTTCAGGGCAGCAGCTGGCCTGGATAACTCCATCCTTATCCTATCTACTGTCAAATGATGCTAAGCTGTGCAACATTTGCCCATTAGGGATGCTTCAAGCTTGGAATGTAGTCTGGCCTTACCTGCAGAAGTACATTAATATGTTACCAGCGCTGTATTTTGAAAGAGATAGAGAGGCAGCCTGCCAAGAAACAGCTGTGCAGTGACTCAGGATGCGTGCAAGTGATCTTGGAGAACCAGAACAAAAATGCAACTAAGTGGTGGCAGTTTTCTAAAGTACTATTGATGGCATAAATGCCAACTACTCCAGTGCAAAGAAAGGACAGAGGGCAGCCTGTGCAAGTCAGGGGATACCCACAGGCACAAGGCCAAAGTGCAGAGAAGGCAGAGACCAGCTCTGCCTGTATGAAGGACAAATGCTGAAAAAACAGCATGATTACATGGGGACAAACTAGGAGAACAAAGCATTCAGGGAGAACTCAGCAAGGAGAGTCCAGGGCACCAGGGGGTTCTGGGCAGGCAGGCAGCTCTGGAAGAAGAGAATGACAAGAGGGTGATAGGCAAAAGAGGCAGAAAAGGTTATGGAAGGTGGTAGTGAAAAGCCAGACTCTTTGATGCTCCTTTGCTATTGTTCTGCTTCACTCATTGGCAATGGGACAATCGTGATCAGGCATGTAATGAGGTCAGCACCACTGACATAACAGGAATAGCTCGGCTACAACAGAGAGGAGCAGGGTAGAGAACTTGAATATTTTCAGATGTGTGGGGTGATGAAATTGTCCATGAGTTCTTAGACAAGTGACTGACTCACCCAGAACTGCTTTCCTGCTACATCTGAGAAATTCTGGAGGAAGAATGAGGTTGGAGACCTCAACAAGGCAAACCACTGCTCAACTTGCATGTCCTATTGCAGTGCTCCTTGGGTAGCTCCGGTTCCCTGGAGCAAAATCAAATGCCATCGTTGCAAATCCCCAGAAGACACCCAGGAGATAAGGAACAACCAGATACATTCATCCAGAAGGACTCATGGAAACCACCGCCTCCCCTTCTCCAACCACACATGCCATACTGCTGGGACAGAGAAGGGGTTGGCAAAAAGGGAAGCAGGAGGTCTCTCAGGACTTGGCTTAGGTGCATTAATGCTCTTCTGCAGCATGGAAGGCTGAGAAACACGCTCTGCTGTACTGCATAGAAGCTGAATATGCTTCCACTGTCCAAAAGAGCCAGTTTGAAAGCTGAAATGGGAAGATGGAGCCAGCTCCCTCAGCCCAGTGCTGTTCACCATCAAAGGCCTGGTTGCTGGGAGGCAGAACATTCTTATCCATCTGCAGGTGGTTTGGAGCTGGGAAGGCATGCAGGAAGCAGAATTAGACTTCAAAGTGATCCTACCATATTAGAGAACTTAAATGGAAATTTGAACGAAATCCAACAAGCAATAATCCTGCTCAGATGAAGGAGAAGTAACAAGGTGGGGGCTTCCTAGGAAGTCTTGGGGCTGCGTGCTGAGTCACTAGCATTGCTCTGGTGTATGCAAAGCTGATGTCAGTGGGATGGACAGCCAACAGCACTCCCTGTAAGATGCAGGGTAGCTTTGTTTGTTTTGATACCCCAGTTTAAAAGAAGATGCTGTTATTTAAGAGAGGGAGAACGTAGATACCCATGATGACAGCTCTCACGTACACAATAAACCATAGGAAGAAATTCAAAACACAGGTTCCTCAGAGGAGATTTGGAGTCTCCACAACCAGAGTTATCCAAACACAACTGTGTGGGATGCTGGGCTGCTTCAGGTGGTCCCACAGGGGGTGAAGGAGTGCTCCAGTTCTGCCTCCAAAACACACAGCTCCCTGCGTTCAGTCACAGACAGGATGAAAACAAACCACAGCAAGATAGTTCTAGGCCAAACACTGGGAAAAACAGGTTAAGGAGCAGAAGAGTGCAGTTTCCCAAGAAATTTGTTTCACAACGTTTGGAAAGGAAGGAGAGAGGGAAAAAAAAAAGAGAAGGAAAAAAGAAAAAAAAAAGGCAAGAAAAGCATTTGTTAGATACCTCTGCTATAGTTCACGAAGCCTTTTGTTGGGTAGATGAACAGGGTAATATCCTAGAATGCAGCATTTATTGGATTATATTTTAGAGCTCTTCGGGTTCAAAAGCTAATAACATAACTCAAGTAAGCCAAGGGTGAGAAACAAGCAGGGGAGATGGGCACAGAAATAAACGATCAAATAACCAATCTGAAACCTCCTGCCATTTAATGCCGTGTTTGAGCTAATTCTCTCTAGGAGAGAGACATTCTGTAATACAGCAACAAAAGAAGAAAAATGCACTTACAGCCTAAAAATAAAATTCATGGTGGAGAAGAAGTGGAAGGCACAAACACTCCATAGCTATACGGAGCTTCCCCAGATCAGCAGGCAACAAAACAGCACGTGTGAAAACACATTCCACTAAGGAAAATTCTCCAAGTAAATCTGATTTAGCAATTTTGTGTACTTCACATTAACAGCAATTAACTCAACAGCAAAACACAGCAATTCTTTACCAGAAGGAGGACCTGTTTCCTGAAAACTCCCTACCCGAGATCTCTCACTGGGGTACAGTTCAGCACTGTTCACATTTGCTTCTCCTTCATGGGCTTGCTCTCAGCTGCTGCAATTACTGCAGATCCACATGTAGGCAGCACTCAGCTTTCTCCCCTCCCTTCCTCTCAAACAATTAACACCTCTGAAATTAAATCAATGCCAGGTGGTAAACCCTATTACTGCATGCTAGATAGAGAAGGCAGATTTCATTGTTGGTTCTGCGACTGTATTGGCAACTGTTTTCAGGCTATGAACGCAGCTTTATTTGTCCTAAATGCAAAATCCCAACCAATCTGCAGCAATCAATACAGCAGCAGGGATTTGGAACAACCTGCTACACGTCACAATGGGAACGCTTCCAACAAATCATATCTCAGAAGTGCTTAAATCCAACCTTAATTCTCCCTTTTTCTCCCTTAGAATTGGTCGAATCCGTGGCGCTATTTGTAAAAACAGGTTTACTTATCTATGTGACAGGAAGATTGAGCATAAAATGCCCGTGAAAGATTTTATTTTTGTAAAGGAAAGGCATTACTGGACCGAGAAAAGCACACTGAAAGATTAACGGTAGATCTAGTCGAAAACTACTGCTAATCTGTTCATTGGACAGAAAATCTGGTTTCCTCAAATGCCGGCGTTTGTACAGGATGATGGATTTGGCCACGGTGCTATTTCCTCAGGGAAAGCTCTGTAATTACCAGGCTAAGAGGGAAGGGTTCATTTTGGGGTGCTTCTGCCCATGGGAGCATGCAGTGGGTGCTGCGGGAGTCCCTCACCCCTGTCCCAGTGAGCCCACAATTGCGGGTGCCCACACCTGCTGGGGCTGCAGGACGTGCCTCCACTGGACTAATCCCAGGCACTCAGATATTTGGGAGCTCAGGAGAACTTTCTATCCCACATTTCAGGCGCTTTGCTGGTTTGCACCTGATGTGAGCCAGGCTTCCCTGCCAGCCCCATCCTGCGGCTCACACCCAGCTGCTAAATGGCTCCCACTGTGAGCTGTGTTATCTCCCCACGTGCAGCAGGACGGCAGCAAGGTGCAGACATCTCCACGGGGAATTACAGCTGACAACACATAACTGAGCTTTAAATTACCGGCTCCTTCCCAGGGCAGCTGCCCTCTACCATTTCTTAGATTTATAGAGTTTAAACCCAGACAGGACCATTAAATCCTTCTCAGCAGCCCCTGCCTGTAAGAAGACATTGCATTTCATCCATTCACGCTCCGTTCCAGCCAGGGCTCAGCACTGCCCTGCACTCAGCACTGCTAACAGAGCCACTCGAGGCTGCCCTGCTCCTTCCCTGGTGTGTGCCTGCAGGCTGCTGTGCTGGTGGTAGAAGGACACTGAGGCTATGGGAGCAGAAACAAACTGCTCCTGGTCCACCCGTCCTGACCCAAACAGATGCACTGTACACATTAACTATAATATACGGGCTGAGAGTGGTTACACAACAGTAATTCAATCAAAAGAGTGTTATAACTCCAGAAACTGGAAGATTTATGGCCCTTTCCATAACACATTTGATTATTTCTGTCTGCTTTAGAACATACGAGTGTCTGCTTAATGGTTTCGTGGGACTTAAGTGCCAAACGAAAAGAGGGCACATCTGTGCTGGAGCTGCAGGTTGCTCTTCAATCCATTTGCTCACAGCTGGAGCAAAGTGCTTGCGCCATGATTCCCTCTGCTCCCCTGCACCACACCTGGCAGCCTCAGCCCCATTTTCTGCTGCCACCCAGCAGCAGGACAGGGCACTCAGGCAGCCATCCAGCCCTGGGTTTCTTCCACACCTTCAAGAAGACTGCCTTCAACATTTGCATACCACCTCCCCAGTACAGTTCCATTTGGCAGCATCAGTTTCTTTCTTTCTTTTTTTTTTCCCTTGAATATTTTCTCAGTCTATATTTCATTTCTTCTTTTTTTTTTTTCTTCCAGTTTTTCCCTGTCTTGCATCTTCCCTTATTCTGTGTGACATTACAGAGCAGTTTGTGCTGCTGCTCTGACGGTTATTGTCTCAAACACAGAAGTCTCCACCTCTCTGTATGTCAGGATGTGAGGATAACAGACAGAGAGCCTGCATGGCAGAATTCCCAGATCCCTGTCACAACTCTGCCACAGATTTTGAAAAATAATTTTTAATTCTTTCATCTGATTCAGTTCTGTGCTGTGAGAGCAGTGAGGTGCTGGAACATCCACAGAGAGGCTGTGATGCCCCGTCCATCCCTGGAGGTGTTCAAGGCCAGGTTGGATGGGGCCCTGGGCAGCCTGGGCTGCTGTGAAATGTGGAGGTTGGTGGCCCTGCGTGGCACAGGGGGGTTGGAGCTTCGTGATCCTTGAGGCCCCTTCCAACCCAGGCCGTTCTGTGATTCTGTGATCTGATAATTTCTCAGTATCTTCACGCCTGGAAGGAAGCCGTTATTTTGCTCACCATTGCTCATGGTCTGGCCTGCTCAGAAGGTCAGGAGACTCCCCATTCAGCTTGATTTTCCTCCACTTGAAACTGAGAATTCATTGAACCCAAAAGCATGAGAAAATAAACCCATTTCAGCAAAGATATTTTTTAAAGGAAAAAGAAGCTCTTACGTTTCAAATTACCATTTTGCCCCTATAAAATCAGAAAATCCATTCTTCGTATGTTTGGCAGGCAAACAGAAGGGCAGAGTCACAGTGACCTGCATCTGCCCTCGGCATGAGAGCTGACATTCACACTGAGAGCCCTTCTTCTCAAAGCAAGTCTTTGAGATCTGTGCCCTATTCAGATATAGAGTTTTCTATGACAGCAATTTTTTGTTCGTAGATCTGCTTTACACCATAGGGAGCCACTGCAGACTGGGGCTCTGTCACCAGAAAACACTCACACTTTGCATTCACTTGCATGCAAACCCAGGAGAGCAAAGCATAAGCAGACTTTCTACAATGCCGAGCATTCAAGGAATTGTTATCTGGAAACATCAAAATATTTGGGAAGCCGGAGCCAACCGAGAGCATGCAGACAGGGTGATGCTCAGGATGCCTGCAGGAGCTCCTTCCTGCTGGCTCTGCTCCTGGGGGGCCCTCCTGGGTGAGCACAAAGGAAAGCTGTCACTCCTTGTGCCAGGTGGGCTTCTGCACCTCCTGGAGCAGGGCGGTGAGCAAAGTCCTGCAGCCTGCAGGTGAGAGGCTGGGTGTAGGAGGGGAGCAGCAGTGGATGTGTGTGCTGAGCTCCCTTTGCCTCTGTGTGCTTGTTTCCTTTTGCCTTTAGGAACACAGCACTGCTTCCTGCCCAGCCTGGTGGGCTTGTCTTCTCTTAACACACAAGGAAATGAGCAGAAAACAACGCCTTTTGAATTTCTTCTACTTATAGAAGATTTTCCTTTATAGGGAAACTGAGTAAGAAATCAGGCTTCAGATATTTTGGAATTAAACTTTTTTACTTCTCCATCTTCCAAAAACACCTTAGAAGACAGCAGGGGTCCCTGGCAGGGGATGTAGGAGATCTGTGTTGGTGCTCCCAAGCTGTCTTGGAGCAGCAGAATCCCTGCAGTGCTCACACTGAGCAAAAGCTGCTTTCCTGCATAGAAGAGGGACTTTTTCATGCAAGCTGCCAGCCCTGTGAATATGCCTTGTCCTGCATCTCCGCACAGACTCCAGTCCTGCTCCCCTGGGCCTACCCAGCATCTTGGCACCCCAAGACCTGCTGCCACCAGGGCCATAGGCAACATGACATCCTGCAGCTGGTCTGGGCACAGAGGACATCAAGTGCCCCTCTTGCAGGGGGCAAATCCACTGGGACAGAATGGAAGAGAAGCTCCTGGCTGGGCCTGGTGCCAGCAATGAGTGCAATTAATTGTTAATCGCAGAGCTCAGGCATTGCACTGTCGCCATGGCGACAGGATTGGGAAGAGGCAAAGCTGCAGTGGTGTGCATGGAAAGCCCCTGTCAGGAGGACTCCATCCTATCCACCATGCCTCTGGTGTCCAGCCCAGCTTCATAGCTCCATGGGCCACATTCCGGTCGACCAGATGTCCTGACAAAGTATCTTGATGTTGCAGTCCTATTTTGCATCAGCTGAAAACTCAGTATCTCTTCTTGGCATTTTCTGATGAGTGTCTCCCATGCTGGGCTCAGAATCTGCAGATCCTTGAGGGACCAGTGGTGATGCGGGTGCAGGTGGCACCTCTGTGCTGCCAGCCAGTGCCCAGCTCTATGTGAGGGCTGCTACCACGCTGGGTGAGATCAGGTGTGCACGTGAGTACCAGCTATGTTGGGATGTCCCTTTGCAATTTCATAGAATCACAGTACGTTTTGAGTCAGAAGGGACCCTTCAAGGCCATCTGGTCCCACTGCCTGCAGTGCACAGGGCACCCACAGCTCCATCCGTGCTCACAGCCCATCCCCTGACCTCGGCTGTGTGCAGGGATGGGGCAGCACCGCCCCTCTGGGCAGCCTGTGCTGTGCTTCACAGCTGTTAGCATAAAAAGCCCAGATCCCGGGTCTCTCACGGCTGTATTGGTGCTGCAAGACCTGCAGAGCACCCTACACACAGGGGGCTGAAGAAGACAAAGACTGCAACAAACCTGGCCCTTTCTTGAGACACATCCTCAGTGCTCATGTAACAACTGCCCGTTCTGCTGGGACTCACCTGCTGGCACCTGCAGCCCAAACCCAGCCCTGCGCCAGCCCCTTGCTGCTCTCCCATCTGCACGCTTCAGCAAAGACAGCTTCACCATTTAAACAAGGTTCTTAATTTACAGAGCTCTTTTTCCCCCACTAGCAGGGAGCAGACCTGGGAAAAGAAAATCTGCTTCCAACAGTCTCCACTGGGTAACAGCCTTCCCTATTTTCTCTCCTTTCTGCAGCAGTATCACCCCCCCACCACCACCACCACAATCGTGTCCCCTCCCTCACGATGCTAAGTTTATATTCACACACTGGGACTTGGCATAATTTGCATTAGTTCAAATGAAAGAGCTGCATTTAGCACCATATTTTCAATCAACTCACTTGAAAGTCAGAGTGGCAGATAAGAGTGAAGGAGAAATTAACTGTAGAAAAGGGGCTTTTTAGTCTGCAGAGGTTGAGTACAAAGCAGGAGAAGGGCATGTTAAAATCCTTTTACAGGAGAATGAAAGTGTTTGCTCTGTTCTTCCAAGCCCTCAGCATGGTAAATTCTAAAAGTAGCACGCCAGTGAAAGGGAGAGAGATTAATGGCCATTGTTTCATGCAACTGGGTAATCAGGAAGGAAATAACTCAGCCCTAGTAGCTAAATTTAATTTAAGGATATACAAATCTACGCTTAATGATACACTGGCAAATATATTGCATGATTAAGTAAGAGATCTGATGTCAGGAAAGAAATCAGTGCTGGCTCCAGCAGTGGAAAGGAGCTGGCAGAGGAAGACACATCTTTGTGGGGTCTGGCTGCAGTGCCAGGGAGGCAGTGCTCAAGTTTGTCTCCAGGGATGTCCTGGGCAGGAGGTGGAAGCTTCACACCCCTCCTATGGGTTCACAGCCACAGGGAACTGATAAATCTACATCTCAAGC